TATGTTTTTTCCCCTTTCCCCTGTTTTCACTATGCATGTCAGAGTGAGAGGGAGCCAGTGGATGGAAGTCATTCATTCTTGCCAGAGTGTGACAGGCAGTGGTGAACTACTCTGCTGATGTGGCCAGATCCTTCCCCTCTTTTCTTGCAAAAGGGGGTAATTCCTTTTCATGTGTCACCCCATCAGTATAAATAGTGTGACATAATAAGTGAGGAGAACGAGCTTCTTTTCTGGATGTTACTGTAACCAGTGAGAGACAGTAGGAGAGCAACAGAGTGCAGAGGAAGGCCACGGGCTGCAGAGCGACTCAGACTACAGCCAGGAGAAAGCTGACCACAAATATGCCTGGCTGCGGCCGGTGGGCTCCTGACCGACTGCTCTCCTCCCTTGCCATGTGGTTGCAATGGGTGGGGGAGCACTTTTTCCATTCCACTTCCTTTCCCTGCCACACAGAAAAAAATCACGCTCACATGCTTGGGGAACAGTGTATAAAACTGGAAGCAAGAGAGGGCTGCACAGTTTGTACCACAGGTAAATTCCCCAATAAAATCAGCAAGAGTTGTGGCATGTGTGAGTGTGACTGTGCAAGAAAGTTCAACTCCTACTTCTCAGTTAGTAGTGAGTCAAACACACAACTTCACCCAAAACCACTTTTTACAGTACACTGTGTGGTAAATAAAATAAAATCTTACACAGTAATTCTACTGTGGAGCGAGAGTTCCTGTTCTTTGCACATGAATTCATCATAGCTCTGCCATTATGTTGCTAGTGTCATTGTTATGTTTTTCCTGCTAAGCATTTTGCAACATCTATAAGACAATTGCTACAAAAATAAAGTTTTAGTAATTTTTTTTTATTATTCACTTATTTATTTCTATTTTTTTACATTTATTCAACAACAAAAAATGCAGTAAAAAAAAAGCTAAACTTGGATTAACTTTTGCTTCAGTGTCATATATAACGCCATTGTGTTATCAGTCCAATACAGGCAAATACATACATTCCTGACAGATTATTCTGTAACAGGACCGGTGTACTTCCACAGTTTACCTTTACCTCATTAGGAATGAAGATAAAA